AGAGAGAGTGAGAGATCACAAGCAGGAGGAGGAGCAAAAGGAGAAGCAGACCCCCCCTCCCCCCACCCCCCGCTGAGCCAGGAGCCTGACTTGGGGCTCGATCCCAGGACCTTGAGATCATGACCTGAGCCCAAGGCAGCCGCTTAACCAACTGAGCCACACAGGTGCCCCTGAAAGTTTCTCTTAATAGTAGTAAATTTTGTCCAGATTTTTTAAAACCTATTTTAGTTGTGTTCTTTTAAATTAGATTCCATCAAGGTCAGGCTGACTAGAATCAGACCAAAACAATAACCCAAGCATCTTCCAGCTATGGAACTTCAATAATTGTTTACATTACCATGAATCTTGAGATTGAAAGAGTGAAGGGGTTCTAATTTGCATGTTGTTAAAGGTCATCTATGAAGAACACAGAGATTACACTTAATACTGTATTGCATATTTGGGAGTTGCTAAGAGGGTAGATAAGTTCTCATCACAAGAAAAACAACATGTTGTAGCTAAGTATGGTGATGGACGTTAACTAGAATTATTGTGGTGATCATTTTGCAATATATACAAATATCAAGTCATTTTGTTAAACACCTGAAACTAATATAATGTTATATTCAATTATACTTCAATTTGAGGAAAAAAAGAAAAGCAAAGGAAAGAAAATCCCAAACAAAGAAAACCACCCAAAACCACTCAGAGGAAAAGATGAAGGCATATATTGCTTGCGGTGGCATATGTTTACCTCTTGGCTCCTAAGCGGAGCAAAATGCTTATTTAAAAGCCCTTTGCCCTTGTTAATTACCGAGTCACAGATTAGAGAGGGCTGCTTCCTCTGGCTCTGTTCCTTCATATGCCACAGCTCTTCTTTCCCTCCCTCCCTCCCTCTTTTCCTAATTTTTTGAGCACTTACTGTTTATCAAACACAGCTCTGGACACTAGGGATATGAAGGTGGCTGAGGCACAAACCTGCCCATATGGGGCTCCTCTTCCGGTTGGAAATAGACACAAGGTTTTGATGACTACTGGCCAAAGTATTATGGGCACACAAAGAAGAGAAATGGGGTCAAGGTCAGGGAAGGGCTCATGGTGCAAGCAACATTTCAGCTGGGCTCCAGAGGTGGGTAGGAATTTGCCAATTGGAGAAAGGATTTGTGGGAGAGGAAGGGGCTTTCTAGGCAAAAGGAACGGCATGATTAAAGGCATGAGGATAAAAGTGCTGGTTTAGGGAATGTATTTAGTTATTAGATGTTGTGGAGATAGCCTACCAAAATTTGTGCTGTCCCTTTAATACCACAGACCAGTTGCCCAGCCACAGACTACATTTCCTAAGCCCCTTTGCATCTAGATGGGACCATGTGACTAGGCAGTCAAAAGGTGAGCCTGCTTTTCCCTTTTGTCTTTCCCATCTGCTGACTGGGATCCTGAGGATTTTGAATCTTAGGCCAGAAAAAAGCCAGAAAATGGGAGTAATCAGGGCCCTGACTCACCTTGTGGGAGGGCACCCACGGACGACTAACACCTGCATTGTACCATGTGATACGGAGGAAACTTGTGTTGTGGAAGTCACTGAAATTTGGGGCTTTCTTTGTTATAGCAGCTGACATTCATTCCCCTAACAGACTCACTGCATGTCCCCAGAGCATCCCAACAAGTGTTCAATGCCAAGAGTCTACAGTCGCCTAAATTTAGGAAACACTGAATTCAACAGGTTGAGTGCCAGCAGTCTGGTATAGAGTTTTTGTTTGGTTTGGTTTGGTTTTTTAGAGTAGGCTCCACACCCCACATGGGGCTTGAACTCACAACCTTGAGATCAAGAGTTGCATGCTCCACTGATTGAGCCAGCCAGGTGCCCTGGTATAGAGTTTTAATGTACAAAACTATATGAGTCTCCAGGAGAAATTTAGCATACAGTGTTTTCTGAATGTCTTTGGCCATGTGTCACTTTTCTGTTTTTAATACTTATGAACAAATTGTAATTCTGTCGAAGTCAGAGGAGGCAGGTGTTGAGTATCAGGGATAGAGTAGGAAAGGGAGGGGGCCGTGTAGGCTGCTTCCTCTCCCCCCACCCTCCCTCACACTCCGGCTTCTTAGCTCTTCACTCAGTCCTGAAGTGAGTCATGCTTTGTGTTGTGTTTCTGGCCTTTGCACGCAAGGCTCCGCCTGGATTGTTCTCCCCTCATCTATTCTACTTTCTAAAGCCCTGCTTCCTCTGTGAACTGCCTCTGAATCCTTGTTCTGAATCCTCTGGTGTTAGAGCTGAAAGATAACCGAGAGACTGTATAATTGAGGGCTTGCCTTTTATGAAGGTGAAAAACTGAGACCCAGGAAGATAAACTGAGGCCTGAGGAGGTAAGCTGAGGCTGGGGAGGTAAACTGAGGCCCAGGGAGGGAAACCAATGAACAGGTTGGTTTGTTTAGTGACTGGACTGCAAGTTTTCCACCGTCAGAGAAATGATCCTTCCTGTGACAACAGATGTGGAGTTACCTCATCTGTGAAGTTTCTGAGCCTTTCATCTGGACTTTATGTTTCCTCTGGCCTTTTTTCCTCCTCGTTACCTGCCTTCAGAGAGGTTCTGCAGTGGAGGTCTCTCGGTTTAGGTAGCTGATCCTATACATTACCCAGTCATATGTATATGTCCCTGAAATACCCTGGCTTCCCCTCGGGGCCTCTTCCATAACCTGACATTTTGGCAGGGTCTTGGAGGGCTGTGGGCCTGGAGGAGAGCTGGCCGTCTTTTGCCTGCTCCCAAACCCAGTGGCATGGCAGACTCCTTCTGGCATGCTGGGGGCAGAGGGCTCTGCACGCATGGCCCTCCATGCAGAGTGTAGCCACCCACAGGACTATTTTGTGCATTCTTTCTGCCAGTCTCAGGCCTCCCTTACAATAGCAGTAGTGTATTTCTTTGGCTTGGATAGTGTTTGAATTAAACAAACATAAGCAGAGCTGCTGGTTGGTGGAACGGAAAGGTTGGGCTGCATCATTTGTGGCCACCTCTGGTTCTGGGAAGCCAAGCCCAGCCCTGTTTCTCTGAGTCAGAGTTTCCTGCCTGTGTCCTTGCAGGAAAGGCAAATCATAGTTGATTGGCCAGTTGCTCAGTGCATGATAAAAACTTATAAACCTAAGCCACAGTATTAAAATTTACACATTCACAGTGTTGTACAGCACATGAAGATGTCTCATTTTGCAGATGGGGGTGCTGAGCCAGAGGGATGAAGTGAGATAGTTGCTCAAGCAGCGAGAGCCCGAGCTGGGGCTCCCACTCAAGGCTCCCGTGACCCCACGTCCCATCCTCTCCGCTGCATTGTCCTTTGAGGGCCTGTCAGCTTCACAATAAGATGACAGTTCCATATAAACCTCTGCCCCCAGGTAAATCACCAGGCTTCGGCCCCTGGGGTGTCAGATACCAGCTCAGCTCTGTGCAGCTGCCCCCCCGTTCTGACTCCTCGATTCCCTACACCAGATCTATTTGCCCCTTTTCTGGGGCTCTGATGAGCATCATGGAACCTCCATCTCTAGGCTCAGAGATGACTTCACTAATGACTGATTACTGACGTTGTCCCCTTATGCTCCTTCTTTTTTGGTTCTGTCCATTTGTGGAATATGACAACTGGCATGATGGAGAAAGTGAGGGGCTAGGAGTCAAGTAGCTGCTCTGAGTCCTGGCTTTGCATTGTGTTGTATGACCAGGAAACCTCCTGTATGTGGATCTGATTCCCTCATCTAGAAAACAAAGGGGTTGGGCAAAATCTATCTGGTCCCACACCATTCTAAAATTCTGTGCTTGTCTTTATAAAGGTAAGCAAGCAAACCAAACAAAACCCCAATTACCTCCCCGAACAAACATACCCTCAAATCCACATCCAGTAGGGATGGCATTTGTGATTTGGGTGTTGGCATTCAGGAATGTGGTTGTAAGATTCTAATATGCTTGCTGCTAAAATTTTGTCAGAAAATTTGAAGCAATGCATGCTGGTAGACTTTAATCCCTGAAAGTCCTCTAAGCAATATTTCTAATATACATTTTGTCAAAGACTTGATGCTCTCTGCTTAGGTATTTCTAACAAGCGCTCTCCCCAAACAAATCTCTTTGAAAATGCATTAGATAACACAGTTCCTTCAATTCCATATCTTCCTTTCTGTCTAAACTGAAAAAGCCAGTTCACATTATTAATGACAAGTCATTTTGCAGAGTGCCCGGGTTAATAGAAGAGATAACTGGCAAAATATAAATGTGTAATACTAACATGCTGCAGATAAAACAGAGGTCTAATGCTGAATGCATAATGTGGAGGAAGGAAGAAGTTCCTGGCTGGTACCGAATTCCTGCTGAGGGAACCGGAAAGCCATGGTCACCAGCTGGTCTGTTGGTTTCCCAACTTGCTACTTGAACCCCACTCCTAGGATTTCAGGGCTTAAAAAGGGTCCTTAGGGAATTTTGAGAATGAGGAAACTAAGCCCAGTCAGGTGGGATGACTCACCTAAAGAAACACTACCAGTGTCCTCAGGGAACTGTGCTGGCTGCCATTTTAAGACTTTGCCCGTGATTCTGCCTATCCAGGTGCCTCCCTGGTCTTTCCCACATCAGCCCAGCCTAGGGAGAGAGAGAGCAGCGCCTTAACAAATTAAATTCAGAGCACAGTGGATTCAAATTCCAGCCTCATTGGCTCTCTATTTGTGTGGCTTTAGGAAAGTCACCTCACTTCGCCTACACCTCAGTCTCCCCCACTGTCAGATGAGTGTTCATACAGGTAAAGCCCTTTGTACTCCAGTGAGTGTTCAGAAAAGTTAGTGATTTTCATCAATATTCTGTGATCTGTAAGTTTGTTTTTGTTTATGCAATCTCTATCTGGAAGCAGAGGATAGGACTGGAGGACCTCTTGACATCATATCTGGCTTAAGAATTGTGTGTTTTCTTGATAGTCCTCAAGTTCAGTATCAGAAGGAATGTGGTAGTTGGCTCTTCTCTGTCCGTTGAACTTCAAGACAAGAGGGAAGGCACATAAATGGTAGCTGAGGTCACTGGAGTGTGCTCTGATTTGGCTGTTTGTGTCTGGCCCCCCACATTCATATGTTGAAATCCTAATGCCCATTGTGTTGGTATTTGGAGGTGGGGCCTCTGGGAGGTGCTTCAGTCACAGGGTGGAGCCCTCATGCTCATATAAAAGAGATCCCAGAGAACTTTCTCCCCATTTCTGCCATATGAGGACAGAGAGAGGAGTCAGCCTGTCTGCAGTCCGGAAGAGAGCCTTCACCAGACTTTGAATCTGCCAGCACCATGATCTTGAACTCCCGAACCTCCAGAACTGTGAGAAGTAAATGTTTGCTGTTTGTAAGCGCACCCAGCCTATGGTATCTTGTTACAGCAGTCCGAATGGCCTAAGACAGGGTGGATTCCTTAACTCCAAGAGTGTGGAATCTCCTTCAGTGGTAATTTGAAACAGAACAGTGTCCATCTCACGTGAAGGACACAGAGGACAAGAGCTACCCTAAGGGACACCTCCTAGCCTTTCAACTGTGGTAAGTCTGGGCCTCCCACAGCAAAGTTTAATGAGTTGTTCTCATTTTATAAATATTAAATAAATTTAATTCTCCAGGTCCCAGTAAGGAAGGTCCCATTATCCTCCATGAGGATAATGAGAAAATTAAAAACAGAATTTGAGCTGGATGAACTGTGTTGAAGAGCTGGGACTTTGTAGTCAAATATGCATGTATGTGTGCTTTCCAGCTGCATGACCTTGGGCAGGTGACCTCATCTCCTGAAACCTCAGTTTCTGCATCTATAAAATGGGAGAAATGTCATTTCCTTCCTTACAGGGGTGCACTGAGAATTGATGAGGCAAAACATACACTGCCTGGCATGTAGTAAGGAATGCTAGTTACTATTATGGCTAATTTTTAAAAGTGGTTTTAAAAAGCTAATGCCTCTTTTAGTTACCATCTTTATTTTTTTAAAAAATTTTATTTATTTATTTGTCAGAGAGAGAGAGCACAAGCAGGGGGATCGGCAGGCAGAGTGAGAAACAGGCCCCCCGCTGAGCAAGGAACCCGATGTGGGACTCGATCCCAGGACCTGGGATCATGACCTGGGTGGAAGGCAGACGCTTAACTGACTGAGCCACCCAGGCGTCACTAGTTATAATCTTTAGATGTCAAAAATATTTAAAAGTGTCTCAGGATAAATGTTCAAGGAGAAAGGATTTTTGTCTTTTATTTTTCCATTAATCCTCCCATCATTTAAACAGTAAACAGGTGAGGGGGCAGGCATCCTTTCTCATTTCACAGGGATTTTTTGAATGGAAAGTTCTGGAGCTGGCTCTGGGAGAAAAATCTAGTGTGTCTAAACAACACAAACTATTTGGAAAAACAAACAAAGCTGATCGATCTGAGTTGATTGTTTTTAGAAATAACAAATTGGGGCACCTGGGTGGCTTAGTCAGTTAAGTGGCTGGCTCTTGACCTCAGCTTAGGTCTTAAACTCAGGGTCCTGAGTTCAAGTCCCGAGCTGGGCTTTATGCTTGGTGTGGAGCCTACCTAAAAAAAAAGAAAAAGAAAGAGCAAATTGGCTAAATCAACTACTCCCTCCCTTCTTCCACCAGCCAGTTTTTGGGTAGAAATAGCCTCATTATGAAATCTGACCAACGGTTGATTCTGGATAATTCAATCTCCGGGTAAAAACAATCTGGAATGTTTTGTGAAAGACCTTGAAAGATTTCTGAGCAGGAAATGGAAGCCTGAAGAGACAGAGAGTGAATAAATTCAGGTTTTTAGTTTCTGGTGACTATGATTCACACCCAGCAACAAACTGATTGCTGTCCTCTGATACCCATCCTCCCCCCTCACGTGATGAGTTGGAGTCACTCTACTCTCTGTCTGGAAGGATCACTGGAAGAAACCACAGAGATTAAGAGCGGACCATACCCTCATTTGGTAGATGAAGAAATCAAGATCTAATGAGTTTGTATGACAAGTGTCTATTACTCTTTGGTATTTTCCTCTTGATCTCAAGACAGTGCTCCATTGTCTTCAAGCAAGAGCCATTGGAGGGGTATTTCCAACCATTTTCTAGTTTCCATGTTATTCACAAAACAGAAAGGTGTCTATTCAAAATGTCAAAGTGCCAACTCTTTAGATCTGGGTGCATTGGTCTGTTTCCCTGGCAGAGGGTGGGGAGGAGGCAGGGCATCTGGGATTGGGGGTTGGTGGGTGAGTTGGGGGGAGAGGATGTCATGGGCAGGGCGAAGAAGACCTTCACTGCCACCTTGTGGTCACCTGGAGCCACAGAGGGTCATAGCTCTGGAGATCTGGTCTGTAGCTTCTTTCTTCTGCTAGCCTGAGATCTGTATCATTTCGGACAGCATTGCTTCCATGGAACTTCTGTTATCATTTTTCATTCCAGTGCATTTTTACTTTCTTTAGCCCCAGGAAAAGGGAAGTTGTTGAGAGCTAGCAAAATTCTATACTCTGGAAAAATATCTGCAGAGAGGAAGAAGTCAGGATCTAGGGAAGGGTTTTTATTATTATTATTATTTTTTAAAGATTTTATTTATCTATTTGACAGAGAGAGATACAGTGAGAGAGAGAGAGCACAAGCAGGGGGAGTGGGAGAGGGAGAAGCAGACTCCCTGCTGAGCAGGGAGCCCGATGCGGGTCTTGATTCCAGGACCCTGGGATCACGACCTGAGCGGAAGGCAGATGCTCAATGACTGAGCCACCCAGGTGCCCCGGGAAGGGCTTTTAAAGATGAAATGTTGGGGCACCTGGGTGGCTCAGTCGTTAAGCGTCTGCCTTTGGCTCAGGTCATGATCCCAGGGTCCTGGGATCGAGTCCCACATCGGGTTCCCTCCTCGGCGAGAAGCCTGCTCTCCCTCTCCCACTCCCGCTGCTTGTGTTCCTGCTCTCGCTATCTCTGTCTCTGTCAAATAAATAAATAAAATCATTAAAAAAAAAAAGATGAAATGTTGGAGATCCTTGTTTCATCTTGCTGTAGCATCTCTCTTACAAGAGCAGAGATTTATGGGGCAAAAGTCAGGCCCAGAGTTGGCATCTGTCATTGTCATCCCCTGGTCAACTGGGGAAGTCTGGACAGATGAAGATTCATTTATCTCATTTAGTGCCCTGGATTGCAGTCCAAATTAGTTCTCCCATCACATTCTGAGAGTCTCAGATTCAATATTGTCAGTTGAAATACTAACGATATTTTTCAGTGCAAAAAAAAAAATGACTTTCAAGGCATGTATTATGGAAAGGATTATAATAAATTAAATGCCTAAACTGGCAGAGTGCAAACAATTTTGACTCAGATCTAAATGTTTGCACTGGCTGTTTAAACATTTAATTTGTTAGAATGGAAGTACCACCACAGAATGAGCATGTTAATTAAACTCGGGCTTCAGGAACGTGAATCATCCCACGTACACAGAGCGTGACAAACCCGGACAGCAAGAGCCAATGTGCGTTGATTTCTCATTCTCCAAATGAACACTTTCCATCTTTAAACCCTGCAGACATCAGTGATTTTTAATGAATTGTTCTGTCTTTCTGAGGTGACTTTTAGATTATGCTGTAAGATATTGTTAGTCCGGGAAACAACTTTGCTAATTAAGTTTCAGGGATGTTATCACCCATAGATAATTGATTAAAGTGGTTACATGCATGATCTGTGGTGTGACTTAACATTAAGAAATAGAAAAATGTAAAGACTAGGAGCTACAAAAACAAAACCTCTAAAGACCAGCTTATCAAAAACAAATAATGTTCATCAATATCATCACCAACATCATCAAAACCATTATCTTCACCAACATCACCACCGTCATCCCCATCACATCTTTTGAGGCAGTGGAATATCTCAGCTGAAATTTTCTTTTCTTTTTAAAGATTTTATTTATTTATTTGAGAGAGAGAGGGAGAGAGAGAGAGCACACATGAGCAGCCAGGGCAGAGGGAGAGGGAGAGATAATCTCAAGCAGACTCCGCACTGAGTGCAGAGCCCAATGGGGACTCGATTGCACAACCCTGAGATCATGCCCTGAGGTGAAACCAAGAGTTGGACACTTAATGACTGAGCCACCCAGGCACCCCCTGCTGAAATTTTCTTGTCTGGCCCTGTTTCTGCCACAGATTGGTCACATGATGTTGTTTAAGGCTCTTATCTTCTCTAAACTTCAGGTACCTCATTTGTAAAATGAGGGATTTTTTTTTTTAACTTTAAAGATTTGTTTTTATTTATTTTAGAGGTGGGGAGGGGCAGAGGGAGAGAGAGTCTTAAGCACACTCTGTGCTGAGCGCGTAGCCCCACGTGGGGCTCCACAGGGGCCGAGATCATGACGTGAGCAGAAACCAGGGTCCAATGCTCAACGGACTGCACCACCCAGGTGCCCTGAGGGTGTTTGTATTAGACTAAGACTGAGGTGTTTAACAAAGAGCACTCCAAATCCAGTGACTTAAATAACATAGTTCATTTCTTCAGTAGACATAACTGAGTTATTTCAGGCCAGCAGGGAGCTCTTGACTACTTACTTGAAAACCCTTGGCAGCTCCCCATTGCCTGCAGACCCAACTTCAAGGTCCTTTACAATCTGATCCCAACTCCTACTTCCAGCCTACCCACGCTTTGTCCTTCTACTTCTGCCTGTGTCTTTGCCATGCTGTTCCCTCTGTTTGGAATGCCCTCCTGCTCTTCTATTGATGTTTTATTCATTCATGGTCTAACCCATATGCTGCTTCCTTTATGAAGCCTTATAATTTCCCTCCTCTGGTCCTTGACATCCTGTTACAACATTCATTTTTTCTTCCTCTGCCTTCTGATATCTTTACCTCTTTTGTAGTGTTGAATGCCATTAGCCTTCTAATTTAGTTATTTATGCAAAGGGACTTTATATTCCTAGAGGCAACCGATTACATATTATTTATCTTTCTTTCTCATCTTCTCTCTCCTTCCTTGCCTTGCCTGATTTCCAGCATTGTTCCTTGCCCAATAAATGTATGTTGAACTGAATGAAATAAAAAGTAGTTACAGATAGGAAAACTCAGTCATCAAAATAGCAACCATTTGCTAACTCAAGGGGCCAATTAGGCAATGGGCTGTTTATTGGAAAATTCTAGATGTGGATCAAAACAGTTCCAATTAGATTCACATCCTATGCGAGACCAAGAATAGCATACAGAAATACTCCTTGGGCCCTACATCCATGTGGAATAGTGTTCCACTCATGTTTATTAGGAAGAACACTCTTCCTGAATCCGCATGATTTTTTCTGAGAACTTTGTCCATGAGCCATGTGAAAATTTTCTTTTGAATTTGTATATGCACATAGACGCTGTATAACATATACGTTAAGTCTATCTCCACTGGTGGAATTTCTACCTCCATTCTACCCAATGGCTATGTCAGAATCCATGAATTAATTGCCTGAGGGAGTTTCATCTCAAACAGGAACGCGGCTCAGGGAATCAAGGGCAGGGAACTCAGAGCTTTGAGCCCTGCCATGGTTTTGCTGTGCAGTTGGGCAAACGCC